GTCAGCCATTCCCCAAATGAATAACAGTCTGACTGATCACACTGACTACACTTTGAATGTTCGTTGAACATGACAATAAAGCGTTACGTCCCACACAGCAGTCTGTGTGTTTTATTTTTGAATCCATCTTCACATCAAAGAGCTTGATTGCGTTCATGAAAAACACTGTGAGGGAAATAAAACGTTTAAAGATTTTATAATAGAGCTCTCATTATTAACTCCAATAAGATTTGGTGCATTCTTCTCTGTATAGGCTATTTGCATGCAATACACTTATATAGCGGTAGGTGGCGCCAAATCTCCAATTTAAAAACCAGTACAAGGCGTTGCGTTTGTGCAATAAAAAGCGTGCGATCAAATACTTGCATGAGAGCAATTTATAACCAGAGGGAGACTTGTACTTATTCTTCAAAACAGCGTGTGTTTGAATTAAGTTTTGTAGGCAATTATGACCACTATTTTAATGTTTTTGAACATGCCTACAAAGAAACCAAGAAATAAGTGCAACAGCATGATGGGAGCATGCACTTTGAATGCTTTAAGAGCTGACTAAGTTCGCACTGTTGTAACGCTAACATGCGTTGTCTTGTCCTGAACTGCACTGGGGTGTGTTTTGGCTAATCCAATAGCTAACTTGTTTCACTTATATTATGACTGCCTGGCTGCCATTTTGTCCGTAATCTTAATTACTACTAAATCTACATAGAGTAAGCTCTGAACGTTATTGGACAATTATAATTTTTTTTAAATTTTCAGCTTTAATTTAAAGGTTAACAGAAGTGCAGGCCTGGCAGAACATATCAAGGGAGGTGGTGCAGCGAGGTGGTGCACTTTCAAGCAGCCATTGACTGCAAAGGATTTTCAGCCATGTATTAAAAACAATCTTCATATCTAAAATTATACACTATGATTTTAGATTTTACAGTTTCTTTTAAACCTTTTAAGAGGAAGGAATAACGAAAGAAAAAGGCTGACATTCCCAAAGAGTTCATGCAATATTTGAATTAAATTCAAATATTCTAAAAGTTAGTCAAAAACATTTGTTTTCATACTGTTTACGCCAAATCCAGACCCTACCATCTGAACGTCACAGCATAAATTGAAACTACAATTTTGTTGAGCTTGTGCAAATTGTAGCTTCTGTTTCTTGCTCCTCTCTGATAGATGTGGCACCCAGTGTGGACTTCTGCTGTTGTGGCACATCTGTCTCAAGGCTGGACTGTTGTGCATTCAGAGACGCTGTTCTGCGTGGCTTGGTTATTTGAGTTCCTGTTGCCATCCTATCAGCTTGAAGCACTCTGGCCATTCTCCTCTGACCTCTGACATCAACAAGGTATTTTTGCTCACAGAACTCCTGCTTAGTGGATATTTTCTCTTTTTTGGACCGTTCTCCAAAAACCCTAGAGATGGCTGTGTGGGAAAATCTCAGTAGATCAGCAGTTTTTGAAATACTGAGACCAGCCCCTCTGGCACCCACATCCATGTCACACTCCTAATAAGTCACTTAATAAATCACCTTTCTTCACCATTCAGATGCTCAGCTTGAAAAGCAGGTTGCTACAATGCAGTGCTATTTGGCTTATATATTTGCAGTTGAACAGGTGTACCTAATATGATGGTTACACTCACTGGACTCCATGACCACACTGAACAAAGCAGCTGAAATCCAATAATATATTAATACCACATATTAGCAGCTACATTCTGCAAAGTATTATGAAGTAATGTGCAAAATGACACTTGCAATTATTGCTTTCCATTATTCTGCATCAATATACATGTGATCTGATTCCCCCAGCTGTATGCATACTAACTGTGGATGTGATGGAGAAGAAAACAAAACATTTGGATTTACATTTTATTTAAGAATTAAACAACAATTAAACATCTTTGAGTGTTGTGTTTATCACTTTGGTGTGCAATCCAGTTATTACCGATGAGTGACTCTGTTTGATTCCCTAAAAAGACTCAAAAATAGCAGCACACAGAAGCTTCAGCTGATCACCGCTAACACAAAAGGCAACTTTAATTTAGGACCAGAGAACCAGAAGCAACCAGTACTCCTGTGTTGGTGTATTATTACATGCCACCGACTGTCCTTTGTGCCATTTTCTTTGTCACAGCTCAGCTAGAGAGTGTTTTATTTAAACATGGGGATCATGCCAGCACAGTGAGCTAGAATGAGCTAAAAGAAGTATAAACATTATCAACTGACTTGTGGTGAACATGGGGGCTGATGAAGCCATGCGTGTAAAAACAAAGCATCTTTGTTTTGAGTGGATACAAATTTATAGCACTGTAATAAAGTTCAAAAGATGATTAAATGAACAGATTGTTAAAAACAAGTTTTAATTCTGGCATATCTAAACAGAAATCAAACGTTGCAGCTCAGTCAGTGTTTCATGGAGACAGCACTGTTATTATTTTACTGTCCCCTCCCTCTGCCCTCCCCAACATTCCACACATGCGGAGAAGCAACAAGCTACCGAACCAGCAGCAACAGCTAGCCGCCCGCCAGCAGCTATCTCCGTGGGGGACGAGGCGTATTAACATGCAAAAGTTTAGAAACACGGATTCCTTGTCCTAAGCAGGCACAAGAGTGACGTTCGGCGCAACCCGAGACGGCTGTGGAAACCATGGGTCACGTCGGGCTCTCGTAATAGATAGTTATTTGCGTTATTTAGTGCTTCAAATGTGCGAAAAGTCGCTCGGTGTGTCCTCGTCGTTGAACAAGATGGCAGCAGCAGCAGGAGCAGGACCGTTGCAGGGATCGACTGTGGTGCGGGTCCTCGTTGCTAGCCAGCTCTTTCACACCCTGGGCGATACGATTTACTGGTTTTGTTGAAGGTATGTCACCTTATCTGGCAAGGCTGGGCGTCAAATGGACTTTGTGTGCAGCGCTAGTGTTTGTTTCATATGTCCCTTTGACGTTGACAGGACTTCGCTCATAGCTAGCTTGTTTGCTAACTGCTGCTAACTTCGATTTGTCCTAGCTGGAAACTGTTGGCGATAAAACGTGCTTAATTAGAGCTAAGGCACACGGTAGCTATTCAGGTGTGTGGTTTTAGTGTGCCCTTTCATGTGTGTTCATTTTTAAGTAACTTTAGCTATGCATTTTGTTGACTTATGCTAACTTGAAAAAGTTATGTACGAAAAAACGACTTTATTTGACACATTTTTGTCCCTTAGTAAAGATATAACACCTGTAAAAGTTCGCACTTGTATTTTTTAGTGAGTTTGAGTAAATTACTTTGCTGCCTGTCAGTTTATAAGTTCCAACAGGTGTCTCGGCTGGTGTTGCCCATCCCCCAAACACGTACACGCACACACACACGCACACATCACCCCTCCCCGTGTGCTAACATGCCTCTCTAGATTGATCAGTAACAAACTGTGGGGTGTTGTAAAAGGACGCTAGCTGGACCCGTGAGCACATACAAACACGCAAACACTTGTGTGTGTCGTGGCTCTCTATTTCAGGCTTGGATCTCGTCATCCTGTGGGGATATCAGGCTACCTAAGCCTGGCAGTGAGAAGGCAGAGCAGCACTGGTTGTGTCGGTGGCCCCCAGAGACTGGAATGACATATTGGCAAGCGTAGGAAGGTGGAGATGTTGGCATCAGCCATATGGTGGTGTCGCCTTCTGCCTTTTTTTCTTTAGCACCATCAGATTATTTTTAGTGTTTGCTAAATTTGCTGCTGTAGTTGTTGAATGAAGAAAGGTAGCGGGGAGGGAGGCAGTGGAAAAATATGGGTTTGGTTTTAGACTACAATGATGTCAGCAAGAATTTTAATTACAGCCACACTCCACAGCTATTTGCCTGCTCAGTTCAGCTCTGAGTAATATTGTTGTTAACCAGAGTCTGAATACAGATCTATATTGAGAGAGAAAAGTGTGGTTGCAAGTGTTACTGTCCATCAGCAGTTTGTCCAGTGAAACACAACAGCCCTGCTGGTAATAAGGTGTGTTTTATTTTAATGTTGACTTTGAGGCACACCCCTCTGCTTGTCTCAACCTGCGTTCCTGTGAACATTGGCACTTGGAATGAAATGTTGTGCTTAACACAGCCAGCTTCATGAGCGTCAAACTGGAATCACCTGAGTCCCAATGTAACCCAGCCAAACACGGGCATTCAGGAAGTATGGCTGCAGCCTTTGCCTATGCCTGTTATCACAGTGTACAGACTTGCTGCAATGAAAGGAAAGTTGCAGGAAAAGAATAAACGAAGGCAAATATTTTATAGTAGTGTGTAGCATTAGACAATGGGATGTTAAAAACTTTGTATGTTACATAATGGCTGACACTGTTCTCTAATCATATCCTATTTGGTGTAAAACTAAATCAAGCATGTTTGTTCTTTGGCTGCATAATCAGTTTCCTTTGTTTGTATATTCCTAACTTCCAGGGAGATGTGAGTAATGCCAGCAGTACTTCATTAAGGTCTGAATAATTAATAATTCGGCCTAATGTGTCCACTCTAGTCAATGATTTAACTGTTTTGTGGGACAGATGGACATTGCTCACATAAGAGTTTAAGGGTTAACAAAAATCCTTGTTCAGCTTTGGGGGCATTAGGTACTTTTTCAGTTTGGAAGAGAAAATAAAGGATTAATTAAAAGATTGCTGTTTGTTTTCAAATATAAAAACGGATCAAGCCACAGTAGTCTTACCTGGTTGATTTCAACCCCACTCAGTGTGGTGACACCCTTATTATTCCACTTCTCCACCAGTTAGTCCTTGCTCACCTGATCTAGTCTAAAAGAAACCTGATACTGGCTGGTCAGAGCCCAGTGGTCATGGAACAGTCCTAATCCTATCAAGACAACTTGAATTACACTTTGCTGAAAGTTTATTTCCCCCCAAAAAAGCCTCCTGCCCATACACCATCTCTTATAAATTCAGTTAACCAATAAAAACCATCAGTGAAATTTATGCTTTAGATTTCCATAAGATTATACTGCCTTTCTGTCTTTTTGTGAACATTCACTACACATCCATGTTGTTTGAATAGGCCTACATCTAATTTGAATTTGATTTGAACTGAAAACTGGCCTAAACCTTGGTCTATACTGTCAGTGTGATTTGTGATTTAAAACATGTAATCCAATTCAACAAAGCATCTAACATTAATAAACATTGTAGATTGTGCTCCAGGGCTATCACAGTATTAAATTTTCACTCCACAATTATTTTGGTAAAAAAGTAACACACCAAAAAAGATATCTGTACAAAATCTTTAAGATAAAAAGTCAGTATTCTTTTAGGCAGCTCTATAACTGAATGTGTTTGTTGTTTTTTTGGGGGGGAATTAAAATTGAAATCTGAGTGGATGGAGGTGATGAGTCTAACTGTAACTCTACAAAAGCATAAAAACAGTTTGAGAAAGCCTATTAATGCTATAGGCATGACATGAATATTTAATACTATCAATACAAAGTTATCATGACCCCCACACTGTGTCACATTTGTTTCTAATCATGTTATCACACTTTAGTTAGTGTAGCCTGGTGTGCTACCACAGTGTTCTGACTTTAGAAACGTGAACTGACATTTTTACAGCTTAGATCACATTGTATGCTGAACAAATGTTTCCATTAATACATGAACATCAGTAATAGACAACTACCTAAAGTAGAAAGCAGTGAATAGAAAAGTGAGTGCTTGACATGAAGATTGTGTAAGTTGCTTGAATGCATGTTTTGGTATAATATGCTTCTAGGATTTGGGAGTGAGGTGTGCCTTAATCAAAGAATCGTTGTTAGATCATTTGGACTACAGCATTGCAAAGGCCATAAAGTAAAGCAGAAGCTACTACAGTTCAGCGTCCTCTCTTACAGATGGTGTTACTTCTGATTTTGGTTTTGATGCTAATCTAAATAAGCACTGTTACTTCAGTATCATTGCCATATTTGTAAAATGTCACTGGTTGATAACTCATCGTGCCTTTATGGTGGATTATTTTCCCCTCCAGTACTGCTTGCAGTGTGGTTCTGCTTGTGTGAAACTGACCCTTGAGTATAGCATGCAGAGACAGGCCAGAGATGCAGCGGGCTTCCCCCGTCTCTCATTTCAGGAGGCCAGTTCCCCTTTCCTGTAATGGTGAAATGATGAGTTAATGTGTATTTGCTCTGGTGTCCTTTGGTATTTTTTGTCTTTTTGTTTAAAATCTTGGCTCGAGAGAATGGTGAAGGAGAAGAAAAAACTTTGGTTCTACTCTTTACTCTTTACTTTTTTTGAATGTAGCATTTTGGTGTGAGTTTGTTTTGCCATGCTTTAAATGATTCATGTGGCTTGTGTTTCTGTTCTTTAGGTATGGCCTCACAAGTCTTGGTCTACCCATCACAGATGCACTCAGCTCAAACAAGTGCCTTAGGAACCAGCAGTAGTGGTACCAGCAGACATATAGGTGAAGCCCACCGCAGTAATAACACCAGCAGAGCCTTTCAGCACCGACCACCACCCAAAACCTATGTGATCGGAGTCAACTACGGTATTGCATATCCCAACAACGTTGTCCCATCCTCAGTCGGGGCTGATTCAGGGAGACTGCACGCAGGAATACAGCTCGGAGAAGGGGGGCTGTGGGCATTGCAGACTGCAGGAATACAGAGTGAAGAGAACCTAGCAGAAGGTCCAGCTCAGACCCAGGATCAGCAGTCTCTTTGCCAGAGCAGAGGCCCACAAGAAGTGAGGCTTTATAGGGACAGTGGTGGTACTCCAGCAGGAGGAGACCTGGACTGTGGGCTGCTGAGTAGGGCCTGTATCAGAACGCAAGAGGACGGTGGTAGAAACAGAAGAGTACCGAGGCCAGGAGGATACACCAAACTTTTAGACACAGCTGCCATCCAGAAATGTGAAAAGAAGACAGGTGAAAGTGGAGAACAACTGCAGGGAAACAACTGTGTCGGAACCATGCAGATAGTGGAGGAGGTATCTGCTCTGCCTTCACTTCCTCCTCCGGTGGCCATGTTGCAAACCAACACTGGGAACTTTGCAGACACTGTCAGATTAGGAGGTGGAGGGATGCCTGCTCAACACAACAGGGTGGAAGGTGTGACAGACATTGGAATCAGGGTGGATGGAACTGAAATCAGGCCAAATGGCAGTAACGAGGCAGTGGCTGGAGCTACAGTGACTAGAGCTGGGTCAGGAGATGGTGACTACCAGTTAGTTCAGCATGAGGTTCTGTGTTCCCAGAAGAACAGCTACGAGGTTTTGGAGTTTCTGGGTCGTGGCACCTTTGGCCAGGTGGTAAAGTGTTGGAAGAGAGGAACAAGTGAAGTGGTGGCTGTTAAAATACTGAAGAACCATCCGTCTTATGCACGCCAGGGACAGATTGAGGTGAGGAACTGTCAATTACTGTCTGTTGTCAGTGTGATAGCTGAAATCTGCTGCTGTGTTGCTCTGTGCATGACCACAGTTTTGTTGCAGCATCACACCAAAACCGAACAACAGAAACAGTTCAATTTGGCTTTTTTTCCTCTCTCTCCCATAATCTTTTAACAGCTGATAGTCTGAGCCGATGTTATTTCCTTTTGTTCCAGGTTGAGATATTGGCACGGTTGAGCAGTGAGAATGCAGAGGAGCACAATGTGGTGCGTGCTTTGGAGTGCTTCCAGCACCGCAGCCACACCTGCCTGGTGTTTGAGATGTTGGAGCAAAATCTGTATGACTTTCTTAAACAGAACAAGTTCAGCCCACTGCCACTCAAAATCATCAGGCCTATTCTGCAGCAGGTAAAACAGCTTTTCTGGCGTAGAAACACACAAGATACAGGACATATAGTATGATCTGTATGATGATGCTTTTAGAGCTGGCACACCTAGCTTTTAATGGGCTAAAAAAATGCAGAGCACCATTTTGAATCATATTTTGTATTTGTGTTAATTCCTGCAGGTGGCAACAGCCCTAAAGAAGCTCAAGTCTTTGGGTTTGATTCACGCCGACCTGAAGCCAGAGAACATCATGCTGGTTGACCCCTCCAGACAGCCCTACAGAGTCAAAGTCATTGATTTTGGCTCAGCCAGCCATGTCTCCAAGGCTGTCTGCTCCACTTATCTGCAGTCCAGATACTACAGGTGAGTGCTTTCACTCAATTCTGAATCATTCATCAAGACTCATGGGAGTCATTCACCAGTGAGTGTGGCGTGATATGATAGGCATTCCTGTTCATACTTTGAAAGACATTTTGAAGCTGTTCTAAAATAATTTGCTGTGTAAACTTGCTTTGTTATTGTAGATCAGAATGCAGCCTTCACTACTCCCTGTAGTTTTAATGCAGCGTTATCAGTTACCATATCATAAGAGAAGCATGATGTTTCATTTTGAGACAAATGTTTATGGTAAACATTTTTATTTCCTGTAATGCGACAATTAAAGTTTTAGTTTTACTGTAATTATGGGCTTTTAAAAAATTGGAATAGGACTCACATTTGTCAAAAAGGCCCCTAAATATGTTTTAAAAACCAATCAGTGCATGCATCAGACTGAACCCAGCTGGTTTCCAGTAGTACAAAGTGTTCAGAATAAGCTTCACATGAAAGAATATTTTTAGGAAGATCAGATATGTCACGAGGTGAAATGTCATGGTATTTGTCTTCATAACATGCTAGCACAGTGATTTGACTTATTCCCATGGGTAATGGTTGTTTGTGTGTTTCTCCCTGTTTCTCACAGGGCTTAGTGAGGTCTTGCCTGAGGATTGTGTGTTTAGGCCTTCTCTGTTATGTAAAATGACGTGGTCTGTAACAACCTGCACACTCTCATTGGGAGTTCATTGACATGTCTTGGGAGCTGTTTTTTCCCCCTTCTGTATTAGTATGCATTTTTTATGTACATGCCTGGATGTACATCTGAGTAGTTCTCAATCCATCACGCCCTTAACTTGGCTGATCTTGCATAACGTGCAGAGGAACTGAAATGTTTATATGAGGAACAGCGTCATGAAATGTTTGGCTTGTCTTTCTGGCTTCTGTGAAAGCAAGAACGTGCTTATGAAACAGCTTTCCCAACCTCAGGACGCATCGTTGAACTGAAATGTAGAACTTAATTAAATTGTTAAGCTGTAAGCTTATATGCTCGCATTATGACACAATAAATTTAGGACTTTCTGTACTTAAAAACAAAGTAGACCACAAGGTCGACTAAAAAAAACAACCTTGTCTCGCTTTGGTATATAGCCGTCTCATTGTGGACTCGTAGGCTTGTTTGTGACGCGTATAATGATATCCAAGCTTGTTTCCAAAGCAAAAGTATTTGATTTTTGCTAATCACGGGACAGAACGCTGGCAATTTTATTCATCCCAACTCCGACTAGCAAGTTTCAGCAAGCAGGTCATTTGGGTCGGGTGAACTGTTGCAAACTCTTCATTGTGTAATTCTTCAGAGGCTGCTGGGATAAGGGGTATGCCAGCAGCTAATGGAGCACACACACCCAACAGTACACTCTCTGCAGTTCTGATTTTATTGCCCTGTAAGGAACGTAGCACATTATCAGTTATTTCAAAAGCGTTTCTGGTAGTGGTGTTGAAATGGGGATACATAAGTCTGGGTTTCCTGAGGTGAAGAAACTTAGGACGTGTAAATGTAAAACTGTGAGCCTTAGAGCACAAACATTCCACCAATAGCTTTGTGCAACTTCTCTATTTTAGAGAAATCTAGCCACTCCCCAGCCCCCTCCTCTACCAGAGCTGAGGTTTAGTGTGGAGCTACAGCTGTTACATAACATAAAGGATTTGCTCCTCATTTGACCTGTTTAACTGTGGAGAACGTGCGTTCAGTGTGTGTGTGTGTGTGTGTGTTTCGTCTCGAAGCAGCAAAAGTGAGATCATAGTGCAGTTAAAATGGGCTGCTGGTGGATTTCAGAGAGGTCACTCAGGCCAGTGAAGAATGTGGTATGTGAAAACCCACATTTAGATCCAGGAAAAAACATTCAGACATTCCTGTGTGTGTCTGGGTGTGTTCCTATGTGGTGCCCCTGTCTATAGAACAGCTGTTGAGCCTGGATATAAAATGTGCCCTAACATGCCTGACAATAATGCCACATGAATGTCACAGAAGGGCTTTGCTGAGTATTCAATGTTTGTATGTTGAGATTTGTACCTTTTAACTTGACTTTTATCTTAGCTGGTGGTGTATGGCTGAAAGAATATGCTGACTCCAGACACAGAAGTCTTATTTTTAAATAAACCAGTACTTCATGGCTTTCTTCTCTTGCTGTATATCCCACCTGCTTTCCATTGTGGGTTTGTGTGAGGAGGAGTTGGCTTAGCCATGATGATAGCTGGTACTGCATATGCTAATTGTGCAGTGTGCACTGGTAAGCATGTATGTCAGCTTGGTTGGGGGAATTGTCTGTATTCAAACTGAGATGTCATAATAATATTTTGCAGTGCATTTTGTTTCCTATACGTGTTAATAGTGGAGCAGATGAAAGTAGCTGTTGCTTCTTATTGCTGTTATACAAGACCCAGTTCAATGAGTCAGCTCACGCTGTGCGAGTGTCACGTTGTTTGTAAGTGAGGTTATGTGGAGAGTGGTTTGAAGGATATAGTGTATCATCTCGCATGCTCATGTTACATAATGCCTGTGCTGTATTGTTACCATAGCGAAGCTCTTAATAGATACAGCCTCACCACAGTGGTTGGGTGGATTTTTCTTTTCTGCTTTTTTGCTTAATGTTTTTGGGTTTTCCCTGGATTTTCCAGCACCATGGAGAATGGCATTGCCAACAATGTGGCTTTGATGAGAATTCAGATTTTTAAAACACAAAGAAACCCCAAAAATGGCAGTAAAACTGAGGTCAATTTAATGAGGCCCAGTATGAATGTTTTGTTCCTGGTGTTTACTGGAATGACAAAGAGTCTATATTTATCCACAAAAAAATGAACAGATTGGTGTTTTGTCTAGTTCTAGTCTTGAGACCATAAATCACATTAGACACTCACTGAAAAGAACTTACAGTTTCAAGGCATTCACATATCACCTAATGTCAAAGTGAGGGCAGACAAATAGCATAGCCATAACTGCTTGTATAAGTACATTTGTTTAAATGTAAAGTTAGGGCCTTTTGTGACTAGCTTACTTAATATTCAGTATCATTTCAGTCAACAGAGCTAAAGTTCCACAGTGCTGTCTGAAAACCAAAGATGGACACCCCCTCCCAAAAAAAGAACCCTAGCATTGAGTTTTTACTATATTAAATTATCACATTTAAGATATTAGTTTAGATCCTTCCTGAATGTTGCATAACAAACAATGATGTGACACAAGTCATTAATGTGATTTGATTAGGATGATTGATTAGCCTAAATTTGTACGGACAAGCATTTATACACAAAAATAGCATAGTTTCAGTGTTGTCCATCTTAACCTTATACAGAGACTTTTGAACAATTTAAGGAAGATTATTGTGATTTGAGATTTTATATTAGGCCGTTATTAGTTATTAGCAATGTTTGTGTAAATTTACGTTGAACTTCCTTTTGGATGATTTTGCTAATTGTGTTGGTAATTTAACCAAAACTTATGACTCACTGGGTAATCTGTGGTTCAAGTGGTAGCATGTCCAGTAATTAAAGGTTGGGTTTTTTGATCCTCCTGTTTGCATGTTCAAAAGCCTGTAAAGGAATATGCATTCAAGTTGGATAGACTTTATAGGATCGGAAATTATATTCTTATAAAGATTATCACATCCATTTTACATAATTTGTGAGTGTGTACATTTTATTTAATCTTTCACTGTCGGCGTCAGAGGCGCGATATGTCAACATAGTTTGGGTTTATCTGGTAGTGAGGACCGTGCTTGAGTTGAGAGGGTGATGGTATGAACTTGAACTTGATTGATTTACCCTAAGCCTTGCTCTGTAACTAGACAGTCGTAGCTGAAACCTTTGTGCTCATCATGTGCTTATGTGGTGTTGCCATAGTAGCATGACACAGCAGGGCCTGGTGAGGTGACTGTTCTGTGCTGTGAGGGTTGTTGACGTAAAACCACCTCCCACAGTGAAAATGGAGCATTGGGCTATGTGAATAATTCAGCTAAGCAGCTCAGGTAGAAGTAAAGACGGCTATCATCTTAGCACAGTTACAAATCGGGGCAGGGTGTGTAGGCTTCCTTCAGCTAGGTGTGATGTCTTTGCCACTGAAGTGATGTTTTACTTTGGCGCCTAGTGTCGTACATATTGTACATGTAGATATTCAGATGTGTCTTCGTCGAGGTCTAATTTGACAGAGTCCTGGGCAGATCTTGAACTTCTTTTCAAAATGCAGTATCCATATGTTGAGTTAAGTTGCTGCCTCACCCACGTTGGCACAGTTTCACAAAGTAGGGCTAGAAGATGACTTTTTTGTTGTTGTTGGGTTTTTTTATTTGCCGTCCTCTGTGGAAGTAAAACTGTGGAAATCAGTTGTAACCATGTTTGGTATCATGTTTCCTAACTGACATTTAGTCCGCAGGGAAACCTGCCAGTGAAGTCCATGCCTGATTCCATGACACGTTTCTTGTACTTTGAGTGAATAATATATGATACTCACATTAAGTGTATGTATATGATAAAACATTAAATATATTCCCTGTCTCTTGTTTGCTGGTTCCAAATTTACCTGCACTTTTCTTTTTATATACTGACCCCTTTTCCACTTGTGTGCGCTTGTTTTTGTGTGTATGTGCTTATGTGTACACACATCTGCGTTAGGGTTGGGTAGCATACACTCAAAATTGTATTAAGATATTTGATGGAATTTTGTGATGATACTTCTGATGCTATAGAAATAAAAACAAACGTACTTAACTGACTTAGTTACTGTTTCGGTATTAAATCATCGTTTTGACATGCCTGGGCTTATCACATTCTGTGGATACTAGGGAACGTAAACACACGGCATCTCTATAACACTAATTTCGTGATATGTCAGTTTTTTATCACGTAAAATTGTACACCTGTATGATATGATAGTACACACACCTAATCTGCGTAGCTGTGTGTCTGTGTGGCAAGCTTATTGACTTTTCTGGGGAGTCTAGATGGATTATTTATGCTACTGTGTGGTGAAGCCGCTGTTTGTACAAAAATCTGAAACTGGTGTGTCCAGAGCTACACTTAAACACAACTAAACTGTTACACTATATTTCTAATAAGCTAATAAGATCAGTGTTGTTGTTGTTATGGCTATTGATATTATTATAAACACTGGCTACTGTGTTAGTGTGAATGTTATAATAATCAGCCGCATACAAATGCAGTTTGTGTAGATAATAAACAAAATCTAAGTGCAAATTATTGTGGTGTTTAAATGCTAATGAAGTAAAACAATGATAGTGGTTACATTCTACAAAGCAGTGAAATGTAATCATGTGAACAGGTAAATAAATGTCAGGTAGCTGCCATTGAGATGATATTCAATACATCTGAGGCTGATCTGGATGACTAAATAATATAATTGTCATTTTATTTGTTAGTTGTTTCTCCTTACTAATCCTGTAATGTAGTCTGCCATAAAGTCACCACACCTTTACCATGGCTGATGATATCTGCTTATGTCGAGTACCAGTCAGTCATGTCAACTCATTTGGCTGCAGTTTAAAAAACTCCTATAAAATACAAATAAAAACTTGGTTTAGCTAAAGTGAAATGCCTCCAAGCTGCTGTCACTTTGCTCATTTGCTTATTTTATACTTCATTAGCTTTCCCTCTAGCAACCTCTGTGCTGCTGACATTTGGTGTAGTACACAGCGTATTGGATTGGCCACTGATCACCTCATTGTCAGTTTTGTTTGAGCCAACTTTTTTTAGTCCAAGATCTGACCAGCGTCGGGTAATTTCCTCCCCACCAATCCACACCTTTGTGCAGAAATTGTGTACATATTGTCACTAGGTAGGATAAAGCAACTGTGTGAGTAGTATGGCCTTAAGTGTGCGTGTGCATGTATCACAAATATGGCCTCGTAGATGCTTGATGGAGGGAGGAAGTAGCAAAAATCTGTTAGCATGTGCTAGTTGTTGTCACAAATGAATCACAGGCATGTATCCATGTTTGTAAAGGTGTGGCCTGAGAACTCATTGAGTCGCCTTCATATTACTTACAAGTTTGTTTGTTGTTGTTGTTGTTTTACAAATTAGAAGCAAAGATCAGTTAGTCTTAAGGAATTGTTACAAACATTTTGAAAATGCAACAGAAAGCAAAGACATGCTTCAAATGTTGCTGCTCTGGTTGACGTGTTTCCTGCAACGTGAGTTGCTGCCGTTGTTTGATATGTAATCATGATGAATCAGCTCTGCTTGCAGTTTGTTCAAGCACAGGGTTCACGTGTCCTGTACCAAGTCCCATCACATCAACATCAATTAAACACGTGTCCAGAGAGAGTGTGTGTGTGTGTCCATAGTTATTTCTGTTCTCTGAACACCACAGCAGTGTGTTGCCATACTGTATCCACTGTTTATTCGTGTCGTAGCTGCTGCTCTCTAGTGAGACTAGTTAGTTCTGGAACCTGGTTTGCCTGCCAAACACCTGTGGGTGTGTGCGTGCGTGTGTGTGTGTGTGTGTGTGCGGGAGTGTCAGCTGTGTGTTGTGTGATGAGCTTTTATAGATCTGGAAGGCTGCCGCTATTGCTCTGGGGAGCAACAACAACACATGCACGCGCACATACACACTCCTCTCTTCAGGTTTATTTTTGTGTGTGTCCATCTCTCCCTTGACCATATGCACGTGGACCGTTTATTTTTGCTGTAGGCCTGTAATGCACAGCTGAACTGAGTTTTTGCTTGTGTAGTTGGTGGAGAAGAGCATCCTGTATTTTCCTTAGATAAAGTGACAGAATACTGACTAAAATTTAGGTGCAGTTGAAGCTTACCAACATGGGCTGTACTGTCTAAACTAGAGAGATTGACTCTTCTGTTTCAAAATGTCAGCCTCAAAGAATCACTTTCATGTGTAGTGGAGTCTTTCCCATTTACCATACCATTTAAGCATCAACACTTGGGTAGTTTATAATTACTGTAAATCATTACTACTGACTCTAGAGTTAATAGCAGCTAAGAATAGACACAGTCACCGAAGACTTTTCAGTTACTTACTGGTACCTTTACAGATGCCCTTTTACCTTCAGGACTGCCTTGATTTTGTTTGTTTTTTTGTTTTCTTTTGTTTTGTTTTTTTGTGGCATGGTTTGAACAAGCTGTTGTTGGTGACGATTTGTCTGTTGCACATTTATAATGAGAACCTCCTGTTCCGCCACATCCCAAAGGTGCTCTTGGATTGAGATCTGGTGACTGTGGATGCCATTAGAGTACAGTGAACTCATTGTTATGTTCAAGAAACCAATTTGAACTGTGTGACGTGGCATATTATCCTGCTGGAAGTAGCCATCAGAAGATGGTTATGTTGTTGACATAGTTTCCAACAATACCCAAGTAGACATTTACACATTGGCACATGCTCAGTTGGTACTAAAGGGCCCAAAGTGTGCTAAGAAAATAACCTTCACAGCATTACACCACCACTGGACTGACATGTTGATACAAAGCAGGATGGCACCACACTCTCATGTTGCTTGTGCAAATGTTGCAGCAAAAATTAAGATTTCAGGAGACCAAGCAATGTTTTTGGTGAGTTCATACAAATTGTAGCCCATCTGATTCAACATTTTCACAAGTGATTATTTAAGTTACTGTTGTCTTCCTATCAGCATGAAACCGTCTGGAAGTTTTTCTCTGTTGGTATTAACAAAGCATTTTTCTGGGTACTTTGACCTTTTCAGACCATTCTCTGTAAAACTTAGAGATGGCTGTGTTGGGGGAAATCCCAGTAGACCAGCTGTGGGGCACTGCTACGTTCAGTGTCACTAAACTCTGCTTTCTTCCCCTTTCTGGTGCTCAGTTTAAACTTGACTGTGTACGTGTCTAAATGCATTGAGTTGCTGCCGTGTGATCTGTTCTTGACTTTAAGGAAACAGCAGAAGCACATGGGTGTGATGACAGTTAAAACAAGAACCACTGTTTCCTCTTCCTACATCAGAATAATACACTGGTTGTAATCTTCAGCAGCATTGTCTGTTTTTTTTATGACTGCAGTTTCTCAACAAGGGACATTATGTATCTATTTTTATTTGTTGTTTTAATAAGTATGAATCATTTTTTTTTATTTATTATTTTAGTAAAGATTTTAAAAGTATTTTATTAGCCTTTCTGTTTGTTTGAAAAATGGTCGGTTTTTGGTTTGTCAGATAAAATCAACCACTTCAAGCATGTTTAGAACAAGGAAACCCACAATCACCGTCTTAGTCCCTGCTACAGGACTGTTCTGTAAATGTTTGAGGCCATCTACCCCAAGGCTCTTTTTGGTGTTGCATAACTGAACTTCTTCCTCCTGAATGAGCAATGGGAAATGGCAAAGTGTAATTTCCTGCAAGCCAAGGAGGGCAGAAAGCCTGGGCTCTGTAAAAATGAACTTGACATATGCGTTTGTGTGTCTACACACAAGCAGACACTCTCACAGACATGTACACACAGAGCGATGACTGATGGCCCCATTTATCACCCAGTAACGCGGTTACATTATCGTCCTGCGTCCAGTTGTTGCTTGGCAACAGTCATTTTCCCTGTGGTCGTCACAGCAGTGGTTGCTGTTTGCAGCAGTGTTTCTCAGCTGTTGTGTCCAGGCCTGATAGAGCATTGTTTTCATCCACCGGCTCAAGAAACTACTGCAAGATTACAAGACCCAGTAAATTGCGCAAGTGGCAAAGTCCATTCTTTGAAAGAGATTTAGTTCTTTTGTTGCCGGAATGAATGCACGTCATATGGATGTAGTGTTTGGTTTAAGTTCTTAGAATATCCTGCTGACAACATGGTAACTGGTTCCTTTTTGGCAGTCATATACCAGGCAGCATGGTGGTATTCATAATGTTCCTTATGTATAATACAGAAAGATTCATTGTTGAAACAAAGTTTTTAACCATGTCTTAGTCAAAGGAGCTTGCAAAGAAAAGCGTCTGGACTTCTTTAAGTTACTTAAAGACGTTTCACCCCTCATCCGAGAAGCTTCTTCAGTTCAGAACTCAGTTCAGACGCTTTTCTTTGCAAGCTCCTTTGACTACGATGACCTGGATGACTGAGAACCTTCACAGACATCACCATGTCTTAGTTAAACATGCCAGGGCAAATCAGCTTCTGTCCTTGTATCCTATGGGTCAGTTCTGTCATCAATGATGCTAAAAATGGGTACCAGCCATAAGAGATCTTTTTGCTGAAATACCAGAAAATTGTTCCAAACAAATAACAATTATGTACCAAGTTCTTACAATAATCTGTTTTTCTCGAATGGTTTTCATAGTTCTGTCTTCCCACATTGCCACAACGGTCTTAGTTTCAAAAAAGTTCATTGTGTTCTAAATGTAACGGTTAATTATGCAACTAAACAGACAAGTCCAGAAGTGCAAGTTTCTCATCCACTAGTCCCTGAGCTGTCTTTAATGCCCTGGGTGTATGCTTGGTGTTTTTACCTTTTTGTTCTCATAAACATTCCTGTTCAACCTCTTTTGAGCTCCATCCAACAAAAGCTGCAGCGGTCCCAGCCTTTCCACTCTTGTCAATCCATACTTATTTTGTTGTTCTCTGGGTTGTGTCAGTATGACCTGTTTGTGATTATACTTGGTGAGCAACTCCCAGGCGTAACCTTTTCTTTCGCTTTTCTCTCTGCAGGGCTCCAGAGATTATTTTGGGCCTGCCATTTTGTGAGGCCATAGACATGTGGTCGCTGGGATGTGTGATAGCTGAGCTCTTCTTGGGTTGGCCTCTCTACCCTGGAGCGCTGGAGTACGACCAGGTGACTTTCCCCTCTCGCACACACGCACACAAACGCACACACACACACACACTCAAAAACACAAAAACCCAAAAGAGAGACACCTCACAAAAAAAAAGGGAGAAAAAAAAAAAAAAAACCACATTTGCACAAAAAAAAAATTTAGTGTGTATAATTCATTCTTGGCTGTGTTTTCCCAGGAGCCCAACGATAGTATTTTTATTACACAGTTAAACCTTAATTTGTTGTTGCTTCCCAATCTCTCTCCTGCTTTATGACTGTGGTCCAACAAATCCTTGATGAAATCCACCTAATACTAATCTGGACTAAGTGAATCAGGAAATTGTTCCTGGCAGTGTGTGACTATCTTCCCACAGGGTTGGGCGATCTAAACTATACAACAGGGACCCTAAATGGAGTCCCCCGGCAAGGGAGAGGGAGCATGGGAACAGGCCCATAACACATTCACAGACTAGTGCAGGATTTGACCATAGTCAACTCATCGAGGTCCAGAACGAAGGCCATCATATTGTGTGTTCCTCAGTGTTTTTGGAGGTCCTTGTTCCTCTAGAAGCAGCTAATGCTTTGAACTGTCATCAGTCAGAGAGTAGCTGATAGTCATCCGTTGAGCTTTGACAGCTCTGTATCACAGGGCCATGCCAGGACACACACTCACGCGTGCACATCGAGTCCCCAAAAGCATGCTGTCCTATGCCAAGGCTCACTGCAGTTCCACTCTACACAGCAAAATGTATTTATAAACATAAGCCTGATGGTAGACAAGTGCGCACACTCACACGTGCACACATAACACACACTTGTGCACACATAGACAGTGTGGATGGCGTTCAGTGCACCATCAGCAGGTTCTCAGTCCAGTGCTCTCTGGCAAGTCAGTGTATTTGTTCTAGGCCGTAGACACGACATGTACACACATACACACTGTAAAATTGTTACTGCAGGATTTGTGTGAATTTCTGGAGTATCGTAGATGTTTAATCAAGCCTGGGGGGTCAGCTCAACCAATCTTGGTAAAAGACAGCCTACATCTGGGCAAGATGGTTTACTTCTGTGTTATCACACTGTGAAGGTAATCCCACCTTCAGTGGCATTTTAAAATGTCTCACAAATTAGTAAAATTAAGCATGGGCTGATAAATAGAAATGGATTTTCATGCTCATTAAATAAACATCAGATAGAGGCCTGCACATCCCAATAAAAACATTGTGAAATTACATGATTCAGCTGTGTTAAACTTTGTGATTTCTTGCAGTCAACTACAAAGAAAGTTTGGACTTGTTAGTGCGAGGGGGGGGAAAGGGTAAAAGGTGGCCATCCTTGCTTACACATGGACTGAGAACATATGAATCTGTCACTTAACATTTGAGCCTTTGATTACATTTTATGGGTGAAGATTGTTATTAATAAAATGGTTTTTCCAACATGCACTATGGGGTACATGTTGGAGAAAGTGTTTCAGTCTACCTTATGTTCTTTTTAAAGAATAGTCATATACATATTTACACAAGCAGAGTGCATCAGCTGATTTAAACTAATATAGAAACTGGGTAAAATTCATTACATTCATGATGATCATGTTGTGTGGTTTTATGCAGTGATTATGTAAGTTGTTGTGACGGATTGTGACTTTCCTGTTATTTTCTTCCTCTCCCTTCCTCTGCCTCTTCCTCACTGCGTCCTGTCTGCTTTCTTGCACCGCTCAGATCCGGTACATCTCTCAGACTCAAGGCCTGCCTCCCGAGCAACTGCTCAACAAGGGGACCAAGACCTCTCGTTTCTTCTCCAAAGAATCAGATTCTCCCTATGCATCGTGGAGACTAAAAGTATGTGCATTCAGATCCTACAAAAATAGACACATATATGACACAAACACAATGTCTGCCTCTTCCTGCCAACTACACGTCATTAAAAGTCAGTAATTGTTCATTAA